TGCGGCGGCCGCGGCCGTCGACCTTGCTGTGGCGGTCCTTGGAGGGCGGCTTCTTGAGAGGCGGGGCGGCGTGGTTGGCAGTGGCTCCTCCTCCTTCTGCGCTGGACATTATTGGATTGGACTTTGGAGTGGTTGACGCTGAGAAATTGAGAGTTTAGAAAGAGCGATGGTAATGACTAATGACTAATGATTGAGTGAGAAACAGGAGGTGGTGCAGACTGATGAAGCCCACATGGGGTCTGGGCCCCACACCTCACTCTCTCTACTCTCTAACTCTCCACACGCGCCTTCTTTTTTTCTTTTCTTTTTTACATCAAATATCGAGAAACTATGTGAGTGAGTGATTAAAAGAGAATTATTGATTCAACAAAAAGGCTTTTCAGCTTTCGCTTTCAGTTTTGGAGATTTTTTGATAAATTAACCGCCAAAAAAAATAGATTCAATTTTTTTATTTTATTACAATTAATAATATAATAATATATAAATATAATATTAAAATATATATTAAATTTTAGAAAAGTTCGGTCCCTTAAAAGATCCCCCCCTGTAGGCAAGGATATCACTTGTACCCTCGTAAGTCATGCCCATGTTAATGGGAGGGTGTTGATATTTACCCAACTATAAACCATATCTTGCACAAAATCCAGATTTTAAAGTCCATGATTTAACACCAAAATAAGGTAGTCAAATCCACACAAAATTTCAAGAATCATGGGGCCTATAGACGTTCAACAACTAGGTATAAAACTCCCTCACCCTAGGGTTAAGCAAACGGATAATACCTTTTGAATGCTTTGGACATGGATGATGGCCAGGTCTTTTTTAAGTACATTTTTCATATTGAAACACAAATAAATTAGTGGGTATAAAAAATAAATAAAAAAAGAGTTTACTATATAAGTTATAAGATTAATCTTAGGTTATCAGTTTTGGGACACTCCATGAACTATATTCATGGACCAAAAATTATAAGTTATAAGATTCTTAAATTAATTTATGAAAATATGTTATAAAATCTCCATACCAAACAAATTTATTTTGGTCAAACTAACTTTTATAAGTTGGTCAAAAAAACTTATAAGTTCCTCAAATATTTTGTCACATATAATAAGTTATATAATAGTTTTACAAAATTATTTTTTATATTTATTTCCCTCTATCATATTATTTATTATATATCTATTAATAACAAATAAATATAATATATATATGTATAAATTGTTGCATGTATATAATTACACTTTTAAATTTCTCTCTTTTTTAATATTTTTTCAAATGGTTCAACTTGTTATGAAAGAATCATTTTCCTTTAATAAATATTTCCCTCTCTTGTATATTACTTTTGTTTTAGGTTTATTGTTGACCAAATTTTCTTTTATTGCTATAGCAATGATTTCCTCATATTTTACCAAGTTTGCTTAAGGTTTTGACTTCAATGATCAATAGTTTGTCATTTATTATTTCATTTGGTTCCTTCTTGCGAAAATGATACTAATATACTTTGTGTCCATTTTTTTCACACACAAAACTGGTTGTCTTATTTTTTTTGGACCTTTATCACATAGGACGTGTTGAGTTGTTTCTTGTCTTTATTTAGTGTACTCTTTGTTCTTGTAATTCTTTAAAATTTCTCCCTAACTAAAATACCAACAAATTCAACAAGATAGCATTAGAAAAATTAAGATGCGAGATTGGTTACCAAGGAAATTACTCAAGAAAAAAAAAAGATATAGATTTTTTTTAAAATATACTTATTCATCAATAACGAAAAATGTCATTGTGTGTGCTTTAATAGCTTTTGCAACAATTTATAATTTGGCTATTACATCATATGGATGTAAAACCCACTTTTTTAAATGGATATAGAAAAGAAGAAATATACATAAAGTAACCATAAGGCTTCATTATACTGAGATAAGAGCACAAGGTATATAAGCTTTAAAATCCTTTGTATGGTTTAAACCAAACACCTAAACAATGGTATGAAAGGTTTAATAACACATGGTGAACTATGAGTGTGTAGTAAACATTTTCATACTTGTGTGTATATAAAAAATGATAGGTTATAATTATGTTATTATATGTTTATATGTTGATAATTTGTTGATTCTTGAAGCTTTTTTGAAAGTGATTGTTCATATTAAAGAGTTTTTAAGTTATAAATTTGAAGTGAAAGAATTAGGAGAAATGGGTATTAAAATGCAAAAAAATGAAAATAGTTTCTCTTTAATAAGTCAAGCTTATTATGTTAAAAAACTATTTAGAAAATTCATCAGTTTTGATGTTGTATATATATACTAGAACATGCACAATATGATCCTAGAATTTATCTTAAGAAAAATGGTGAAACTATTATTTCTCGATTTAAGTATGCAAAAATAATTAGTAGTATCAAACTTGATAATGCATATGTTATAAGTAAATTAAGTAGATACACTTATTATTCCTTTAATGATCATTAGAATACAGTTTTGTACTTAAAAGGTACTATGGATGAGAGTTTACATTTCACTAAAGTTCTAAATAATGATAGGATGTTTTTTTGCACTATAAAAAGGACACAAGCATGAGATATTATACATAAAACATTTCTCTAAACTTTGTCTTTTCTCTATATTTTTTTGAGTATTATTTTTTTTGCAAGACTCCAATGTGTTTGGCCTCAAGTGCACAAATTTAAACTTGAGGAAATTAAATTAAAAAGGCAAATAAAATAAGTGAATTTTGTAGGGCATAAGGTGTGGAAATTAAATGGCATAAGGAGTTGCGTGACGCGCCACAGCAGAGGAGGGGAGTCGGAGTGAGAAGGGGAGCCCACTCACTTTCCGTACTTCTTCGTTAGAGAGTGCAACTTTCTTGTTATCTCCAGCTACGTTTCATTATCCACTCTTCTTTTGCCACCTCTGCAACATCTAACATAATCTTTCTTTTTTATCCTTTTTCGCACCTCATTACCACCACATAATTCTTCATTTCAAAACTCACCATGCCCTCATGCACCATGCACTCAACATTCTCCACATGTTTACACTTTATTCACTCTTCTTTCCCAACTTACCCCCCTATTTAACCACTGTGACACCCTTACTACCCCAACTTATATTGTAATAAATACCAACTAGATCCTACTTAGTTTCAGCTACTACCTATCAAGGTACGGGAGAAAATGGGAGATTTATGTGTAGAGTCACATGAGGGAATGGCGGGAGAAGAGTTCCTGTGGAATTTTTTAATAATTTTATAATTGTTTCCGTTTGGGAGACTAAGAGGATTGATTGTTGTGTCGATGGTTGCATGTTGTTTTATGATAATGAATATGGAAAAAATGATGGAGCGTTAACTGAATGCAGATTTTGCGATAAGCCTAGGTATCAGAACCATAACACTGGAACAACTAATAAAAAACCAGTTCCAGTTAAGGCCATGTTCTATTTGCCTATAATTCCAAGGTTACAAAGGATGTTTGCATCAATGCAAACTGCTGGACAAATGACATGGCACTATGAGAATAGAAGAAGTTCGGGCATATTACGTCATCCATCTGACGGTGAAGCCTGGAAGCATTTTGATCGCGTCCATCCCGATTTTGCCATTGATCCACGTAACATGCGACTTGGTTTATGCTCTGATGGATTTACACCATATATTCAAGCATCAACTGCACCTTATTCTTGTTGGCCAATAATTGTTAGTCCATACAATCTTCCTCCAGAAATGTGCATGTCCAAACCTTACATGTTTCTAAGTTGTGTCATACCAGGCCCATCTAATCCAAAGGCTGGTATTGATGTTTATTTACAACCCTTAATTGATGATTTGAAAAGGTTATGGAATGGTGTTCTAACATATGATATTTCAAGGAAGCAAAATTTCATGATGAGGGCAGCTTTGATGTGGACTATCAATGACTTC